ATGTTCATTAAGTTACACTGTCACAGTGCTGATCATGTTCATTAAGTCACAGTGCTGGTCATGTTCATTAAGTCACAGTGCTGATCATGTTCATTAAGTCACACTGTCACAGTGCTGATCATGTTCATTAAGTTACACTGTCACAGTGCTGATCATGTTCATTAAGTCACAGTGCTGGTCATGTTCATTAAGTCACAGTGCTGATCATGTTCATTAAGTCACACTGTCACAGTGCTGATCATGTTCATTAAGTTACACTGTCACAGTGCTGATCATGTTCATTAAGTTGGCAGCTTTATTGTGCTACAAATGACAGGAGCAGTGGGTGGTTGGCAGGTGCTCTGGTGTGGTTTGCTCCTTCTTTCCTATCAAACGTCTATCACCCTTTAAATCTCTCCTCCTTCTTTTTTGTGTTCATTACTCCTTTATAACACCGCTATTCTTCAGCACTTTTATGACCTAATTGTGCTGCCAGTGCGGGGATAAAACTTACTAAAACATGACAGGAGTGTAGTTAAATTATGCTGATTCTTCAGCACTTTTATGACCTAATTGTGTTGACAGTGCGGCGGTAAAACTTACTAAAACTGAATGACTGGAGTGTAGATGAATTATGCTGATTCTTTTTACTGTAATTTGAGTCTTCTTTCAACAGCAAATGTGATCAGTAGCTACAGTGGTTGTCTTTTTTGTGTTTGTCTTTTTTGTGAAGATTAGAGGTGTATTTGTGTTTGGGGGGATTATTTGTTGAATGGGCCAGAATACGTGAAAAGTGTCGGAATGTTTTAGCTGTCTTTTTTTTTTTTTTTTAAATAAATTGTGAAGCGCTTAAAGCCACCAGGGAGTGGGTGCTCTTGAAGTGATCTTTTCTTATTGTTTATTATTATTATTCTTTGTTTTTATTGACTTTTGTTGTTCCTGTGTTGTCAGGTGGGTGAGGCAAGGGCCCTGTACAACCTTGGCAACGTCTACCACGCCAAGGGCAAACATTTAGGTCGTCATGGCAACCAGGACCCAGGTGAATTTGCTCCGGAGGTGAAAGAGTGCCTGGAGAAAGCGGTTCAGTATTACGAGTGAGCTGGATATGGATGTTTTGTTGTACAAATTTGTTTTGTGTTTTTCCATTTTAAGAAATTGTGATGATGATGACAGTAACAACAGTTCCTCCATCATGAACTTCTGAAGACCTTTAACTTCCAAGAAGAAAAAAAAGTCATAGACCTTGCCAGCTACTGCCAGTTACTAGCATGACAAAGAGAGAAGAGTGAAAGGAGAAATACTAACCAGCAAATTATAATGATCACAAAACGCGACAACCTGTCCCAAATAGCAGTGCCTTTCCCTTTCCTTTATATAATTACAAAGATCTTTCCTGATCCTTACTATTGTCATTTTCCTCTACTTCTTTTGTATGTTTGTCGCTCTCTTGTAACCTGCTATTTCCGGGGTGCCTTGATAGTCGAAGCAGACCTTGTGCTGTTGAAGCTAGAGAGGTGAGCAGAGTAAGTCTGATTCCCTGTAAAGACTTCTCTGTTGACATCCACCCCTTGGCGCTCATATGACTTATGCAGTTGCGAGTGCCGTAAAACCCTCTACTAAAACCAAAATGTTTGTTCTCCAGAGATTGTCCATAGCCAAAGAGTTTGGAGACAAAGCAGCGGAGAGGAGAGCGTACACCAACCTTGGCAACGCTCACATCTTCCTGGGAGACTTTGAACTTGCTGCAGATTACTACAAGTAAGTACAGTTGGCCCAGTCGGTGATTTTACCAAAATAGGAGTGCTTCTAATTCTTCATTTATTTTTATTTTACCAATGCACCCTTTTTTCTTTTTTTTTTTGGTCTCAGTTGTGTCTTGTACAAAAGAACTTTGCTTTCCTCTTTTCCTTCTGGGGGGTTGGTGGGTGTTCTGATGTGACCTGTTCCGCCTTTGTATCAGCCTCACCATTATCCTTATATCAGAATGCCAGAAATGGACACTATCAGTCTGATTAGCTTTAATGTACAACAAACAGATCTTTTTCTTTGGCTTCCACTCTCAAGACCCCACTTTTATCACACCATGTGGGTGGTTGGCGGGTGCTCTGATGTGGTTTGCTTCTTCTTTCCTATCATCTATGGTCCTTATCAACCCTCTTTCTATTTTGTGTTTGTTACTCTCTCTTGTAACACCTCTAATCTCCGGCACTTATACAACCTTATTGTGTTGCAAGTGCCGTAAAACTCTTACTAAAACTAATACTTATCACACCGTAACTATGAAATTGTACTGCACTGTTTACTGTAGACATTTTGAGCACTGGATTTGAAGATGATGATGCAGCCCTAAGTAAAGATGCGGCCCAGCATACAGTGGTGGGAACTCTAGACCGGGAGGCTGTGGGGGTTTCTGCATGGGAATGGGAAAAGAATGCTGGAGAAAGGAGGAAAGAGAATGAGTGAGGGACCCAGAGGAGAGAGGATGTTATGGAGGTGGCATTATGTAGTACGACTGAGCTTCTAAAAGAGAGGTTGAGAGGTCGGGGGAGGGGGGGGTGTAAATGAAAGACTAGATAACAGCGGGTGATTGGAGAGTGATTTAAAGAGGATATCATTTGTACTGGAAAATTAAATATTTTTCTACTGTAATTGGTTTCGATGGTGCAATAGAAAATTTGGGTTGTATACTAATGTCAGCTGAATTCAGAAGAAAATGTTTCTTGTATTTGACAGCAACTCTCTGGTATCCATATGTGTCACGACGCAGTGGAATCAGGCACTAGTCAATTTTTGGGCATATGGAGTCATTGGTATCATCTTAAGGGTTTTTCATTTGCTTTGCTTTCGATGAAAAAAATGTCCATTTATTTAGAATACAAGTGGAGATATTTGTGATTGAAGGAGGTGGGGCTCACCTGGTTTCAGAGTTAAAATTAGTGAGAAAATGGCCCCCAAAGATGAATTATTTCCTTAGCTTGAGAGTCCGTGAAAACTGAAAATTTACATCTTTTGTGCCGTTAATCAATGTTTTTCCGTAAAATCCACACAGAAATGTGTTCTTTAATGGGCCTGAAAGGTGTTGAGCCAAAGAACCAAAATTTGATAAAAATTTCCAAACCAGTGGAAAAGTGCCGGTTTCTTCGATTTCATTATTTTGACGAGCGCCTGATTTCACCAAGATGCCCCACATATGTTCTCAGTGAATTATGGGGAAAATGGAAATGTAAAGCATGCTGTTGGAATTTTACACTATATTAACTCTTTTGCCTTCAGTTGGGTGCAGCGTTAGCTCAGTTAGGATTATGCTGAACTACCTAGCGGATGGCCCTGATTGATTGCCCAACGGTTCGTTCTGAATTTGGGATGTTTTTGGCAGCTCTTTAGCTCTCCTCCCCTCTGGCTCGGTCTGATCGGAGAAGGACGTACGTCCATAAGTGTTTCCTTTCAGATAGCTTTTCCGTATTCAAAAGGGCGTTAAACATATACAGTTGTGAGTGGGTAGTTGGCGGGTGCTCTGGTGTGGTTTGCTCCTTCTTTCCTTTATATTATATGTATAATACTTTGTTTTACGTACACGCATGTCGATTAATTTTTAAGATGTGATGTCTTTTTCGTTGTAATGCGCATTGAGCATCTTTTAGAAAATGGAAATGCGCAGTATAAATGCTATTTATTGTTATTATGATTATTGTCCTACCAAACATCTATCGTCCTGATCTCTCCTCCTCCTTTTTTCTGTTCGTTACTCTCTTGTAACACCTCCAATCTTCGGTACTTATATGACCTTGATGTGTTGCAAGTGCCGTAAAACTCTTACTAAAACAAAAACATCTACAATTGTGAGTTTGCTGAGTGAGGCTCTTGTCTCCTTCTCAGGGATGTCAATCTTCCAGCTTTTCCTTTTTTTTTTCGCGGCCGATTTGCCATTTGGGCCCCAGCTTTTAACAAAAGTCTATTATTAACAATACATATTATATATACTAAATAGAGATGATTTGCTGCAATAGAGGGAAAGAAACAAATATATTTTAGTCTCACTGTATTCTTATTTCAGTCAATGCGCGCGCGCGCCGTATATTTTCCGGATTAATTTGTTCCAAAACGTGTTTCCACCCCTACCTTCTGTCTGTGTGTCCCCGACTCCCCCAGGAAGAGCCTGCAGATTGCTAAGCAGCTCGGCGACCGTGCCCTGGAGGCGCAGGCCTGCTACAGCCTGGGCAACACCTACACGCTGATGCGCGACTTCGAGACCTCGGTCAAGTACCACCAGCGCCACCTGCTCATCGCGCAGGAGCTCTTCGACCGGGTGGGCGAGGGCCGGGCCTGCTGGAGTCTGGGCAACGCAAACAGCGCCCTGGGCAATCACAAAGTTGCCTTGCAGTTTGCCAACAGACACCTGGAGATTTCTAAAGAGGTTTGCCGTGGTTTGCTTTCTTTTGTCGAAAGTATTGCATTTTTTTGTCAAGAGTATTGCATTTTTTTGTCGAGAGTATTGCATTCTTTTGTCGAAAGTATTGCGTTCTTTTGTCAAAAGTATTGTATTGCATTCTTTTGTCGAGAGTATTGCATTCTTTTGTCTAAAGTATTGCACTGCATTCTTTTGTTGAGAGTATTGCATTCTTTTGTCGAAAGTATTGCATTGCATTCTTTTGTCGAGAGTATTGCATTCTTTTGTCGAAAGATATTTTTCTTTTTTTTTTAGACTGATGGGGGAATAATTTTATTTGTTAGGCTTTGAATTGATGATGTGAATATACAATTGTTTTGCAATCTTATGTTATATCGTTTGGTGTCCCTGGTTTGGATTTGGAAAAGCTGACAAACCTGCGACTGAATTATGGTACTTTTGTGGTTTGTGGATTTAATGTGGAGAACACTAAAAGTGTTAGCTGACTGCCATTTGCTGGAGGTTTAGATCGTCAGCTAGGATTGATTGTGTTGTGCTGTTGGCGGTGAGAGAGATCACTCCATGTGTTCCCCACACAGGGCAGTGCCACTGACTGAAGTTGTCTTTAGGCCATTCCCAAAGGGGGGATAATGACATGTTCTTATGCTCAGTAGAATTGTAAATGGGCTGATTTATCAATGTCATGCTCATAACTATGCCGGAACAACATAGGGGAACTGCTGCTTTTTCTTTCCTCATCCTTACTATCGTCATTTTTCCTCTACTTCTTTTGTATCTCTTGTGACCTGCTATTTCCGGGGAGCCTTGATAGTCGAAGCAGACTTTGTGCTGTTTAGGCTAGAGAGGTGAGCAGAGTAGGCCTGGTTCCCCATTTGGACTTCTCTGTTGACATCCACCCCTTGGCGCTCATATGATCGTATACAGTTGCGAGCGCTGTAAAACCTTACTAAAACAAAACAACTCCATGTTTTTGGTAGAAAGTTGACAGATGTTTTTTGTCTGCTGGTCAGATCGGGGACCAGACGGGGCAGATGACGGCCCAGATGAACTTGGCCGACCTCAAGGATGCTCTGGGCATGTCCGACCAATCCAACAGGTGAGTGAGTGAGTGAGCGAGTGGGAGGCTGGCTGTGCGAGGTGACTGTGGCTGCAGATTCTCATTTCACTTTGTTACTTTGCACTTCACTGAATGTGACCTCTGTTGACTTGACACATGGGTGGTTGGCAGGTGCTTTTGTGTGGTTTGCTCCTTCTTTCCTATCACACATCCGTGCGCGCTCATATGACCTTAGCAGTTGCGAGCGCCGTAAAACCTTATACTACTACTACACATCCGTCGTCCTGATCCCTCCTTCTTATTTTTTGTGTTTGTTACTCTCTTGTAACACCTCTTATCTTCGGCATTTATATGACTTTATTCTAAATGACATCAGAGCTGCACTTCTCCCTCCGAGACCTAACATTGACAACACACTCTACGGAACATTCCAGCAACTGCAGTAAACCTGCACTCATCACTACATGGCATTGGACAGAAGGGCGAGAGCCCAGATGTTGCTGGATCGATAATAACAACAACAACATATGACCTTATTGTGTTGCAAGTGCCGTTTAACTCTTACTAAAACTAAAAAGCTCTTGCATTTGTCACAGTAATAATAATGATTATAACAGGCCTTTATGCTGCGCATATCAATGTCTTTTGAATTATGATGTTAGATGTGTGTGGAACTGGAGTGAAGTTTATGTGGTAGGAAATAGGAGAGGGTAAAAAGGATAAGTTTCTTTCCCTGAAGGGAAAATGAGGATATTTCTGATTTGTTTAAGTACATGATGGTGATTGTCAACTGGTCTCTGCTGTTGTGGCTGGGATTTGGTCTCCTATCACTTTGGCTCTTTGCAGTGGTACATGTGCTTGACTGTTTGTGAAACTTACAGTTGCGAGCGCCGTTTCTAAAACTAAACTGTCTGTGAAAATGTTTCGACTGCTGTAAACGAGGAAAGGTTTTGGTATGTAAGGCTATGAATATTTCTTTTGTTGGATAATCATTTTCCTCTTTTTACTTTTTTTTCTTTCTTTTTTTCAGTAGTGTGACAGCTCAAGACAAAGCTGATGTGGCTTTGGGTAAGCTATTCCTTATGACACTGAGATCTATTGAGATCTGTTGCCTCGCTGTACAAATTTCTTGCAACAATTTCGATTATTTTATTTTTTTCATTACTAAAGTGATTTGTTGATAGACAATGCTACCTGTTCAGTTTGAAACGACACTCTTGTTGGGACAGTTTTGCTGATATGAGTGGGTGGTTGGTGGGTGCTCTGGTGTGGTTTGCTCCTTCTTTCCTATCAAATATCTATTTGTCTTTATCTCCCCTCCTGCTTTTTTATGTATATTACTCTCTTGTAACATCTCTAATCTTCGGCACTTATAAGACCTTATTGTGTTGCAAGTGCCGTAAAACTCTTACTAAAACGATAAAACAAGCTGATGTGGAAATTTTTGTCTCCCGTTGTAGAAGTAAGTGGGATTACAGTTCATGACTGTCTTGTGTTTGTTCAGCTTTGATCTTTCCCCATAGAGTCAACAGTGTCGTGGGGGTATGACGGAAACAGAGATCCTTTTGTCTGTCTGTTGACAGTTGAAGGGAGGAAGATGTGCTCTCTGCTTGTTGCTTTTCCACTACAATAGAATTCTCAGTACTTAATGGGAGGCTGGACACTCTAGTTTTGTTTCCACAATTACCAAAGACAGGTTTATTGTTACCTCCCTTTGCTGGCTTGTGGTGGCCCTATGATCTTTGTGATCAAGTAATGAGCGCTGTGTGCTGGCATATGGTGGCCCTATGATCGTTTTGTTCAAGTAATGAAAACTGTATGATAGCTCTATGATCTTTGTGATCAAGTAATGAAAACTGTATGATAGCTCCATGATCGTTGTGATCAAGTAATGAAAACTGTATGATAGCTCTATGATCGTTGTGCTTAAGTAATGATAACTGTATGATAGCTCTATGATCTTTTTGATCAAGTAATGAAAACTGTATGCTGTCATGTGATAGCTCTATGATCGTTGTGATCAAGTAATGAAAGCTGTGTGCTGGCATGTGATTGCCCTATGATCGTTTTGTTCTAGTAATGAAAACTGTATGATAACTCTATGATCTTTGTGATCAAGTAATGAAAGCTGTATAATAGTTCTATGATCTTTGTGATCAAGTAATGAAAGCTGTATGATAGCTCTATGATCTTTGTGATCAAGTAATGAAAGCTGTGTGATAGCTCTATGATCGTTGTGCTTAAGTAATGATAACTGTATGATAGCTCTATGATCTTTGTGATGAAGCAATGAAAACTGTATGCTGTCATGTGATGGCTCTATGATCTTTGTGATCAAGTAATGATAGCTGTGTGATGCATTCCTTTCTCGTCCAGGTCGCCGGCCAGACAGGGGCAGACGATTCAGCATGGAGAACATGGAGCTGATGAAGCTGACTCCCGACAGAAAGGTATGTCTGCGTTAACATGAGCTTCATCCAGCCGTGCTTGTTTTTATTGTCTGCAGGTGGCATTTTCAGACATGAGTGGCTTTAACTATAAATAAAAGTTTCCTTTGTGTCAGGAGATCTTTTGCTTTCTCGTTGTGAAAGGAAGTCCGATGATCAAACTGTGTGTTGTCTTTCCTTTTTATAAATTGTTTCCTTGATGGAAGAGAAGAATTGTTTCATCAGCATTTGGGCAGACCATTTTGTTATTTCCTTTGAAAACTGCTCATAGCACATTGTTGCTTTTAGGTCAGATAACTTGGTCATAGTTATCATTTCATATCTTCAGAAAGATCATAGTTTATATGTCAAAGTCTTTACAGTTCACATTCTTTGTGTTTCTTAAATAGAGTTTACGAAAAAAAACCTGACAATCCTCTTACTTTTAGTTTTCATTTTCGTTGTCGTCTTTTTCTTCTGTTTTCCCAGGCGGGCAAGCAGGTGACTGGGGGAGCCCGCCCCAAGCAAAAAGTACAAAAGTCTGCCAGTGTGGCCGTCGACATGGGAGTCAACAGCAAGGGGGCTCAGGTATACCTATACTGACATGTTCTTATGCACACTAGAATTGTAAATGGGCTGATTTATCAATGTCATGCTCATACTGTGCCGAAACAACACAGGGGAAACTGCTGCTTTTTCTTTCCTAATCCTTACTATCGTCATTTGTCTTCTACTTCTTTTGTATGTTTGTCACTCTCTTGTGAACTGCTATTACCGGGGTGCCTTGATAGTCGAAGCAGACGGTGTGCTGTGGAAGCTAGAGAGGTGAGCAGAGTAAGCCTGATTCCCCGTTTGGACTTTTCTGTTGACATCCACCCCTTGGCGCTCATATGACTTTATGCTGTTGCAACCACTGTAAAACCTTACTAAAGCAAACAATAAACAAGGCATGATTGAACCTTGGGGGGGGGGGGGGGGGGGGTTCGAATAGGGGAGGTGCTTTCAAAAATTTTTTAATGGTGCACGGCATGATGTTATAGTTGTTGCTTGCCATTTCAGTTAGTCAACTCTCTATATCGGCTTTCCTATGTTCTAGCGTTGGTGTGTTTTCGTACAGGCACAGGTGTGGTATGTGCACTGCTCAAATGTCCGTGTGCCAGGGGATTCGTTGCTCTCTAGTAATAGCACTTCTCATCTTCGGCTCTAGGGCCGTCAAGTAAACTATGGTAAGTCATGTTTTCCAAATATTACAGGAGAGATTTAAAAAACGGATTTTCTTGAAGCGTTTTGGGTGGATAAACTTCATTGTCCAAAGGGAGCCTACATTAATCCCAAAACGCTTCAAGAAAATCCATTTTTTGTCTGTCCTGTACAATTTGAAAAACATAACTTACCATAGTTTAGTTGGCGGCCCTCGATGTATGATGTATGTGTTGCAAGTGCAGTAAAACATTTACTAAAATGGTGTTTGTTGACACAAAGAATGGTGAAATTGGTACACACAGAATGGTGAATGTGGTACACACAGAATGGTGAACGTGGTGTTTGTTGACACACAGAATGGTGAACGTGGTGTTTGTTGACACACAGAATGGTGAATGTGGTATACACAGAATGGTGAGTGTGGTACACACAGAATGGTGAGTGTGGTACACACAGAACGGTGAATGTGGTGTTTGTTGACAGAACGGTACCGTGGAGGACTTTGACGATGACGGCCTGTTTGACCTGTTGACCCGATTCCAAAGTCGGCGAATCGACGACCAGCGCTGTTCATTCCGCCTGCACGATCAGCCGTCCCCGGAGTCGGACGAAAGCAAGGACATCAGACTAGGTGGGTGCTCTGGTGTGGCTTGTTCCTTCTTTCCTATCAAACATCTATCGTCCTCATCTCTCCTCCTTCTTTTTTGTGTTTGTTACTCTCTTGTAACACCTCTAATCTTTGGCACTTATATGACCTTATTGTATTGCAAGTGCCGTAAAACTCTTACTAAAACTAAAGATTAGATGGGCCTAAGTAGTTGGATGAGGGCAAGAGATAGCCATCAGTGGGTTCACCAGGGAGCTAGCATCAAATAGTGGACCAAATGTTTCTATTCCAAGTGTCAAAAGCAGGAAATTGTTGCAAAAATCCAGGGGGAAAGTGTTGACGTTAGGTTGAAAGATGGAAGAACACTGTGCTAGCTGAAAAGGGAATGGAGTTTTTAAAAAGTGCCCAACTCAAACCCACACGCAGTGACGTTTTTTTTTTTTGGTCTTTTAGCTGTGTTTTAAAAATATTTCTTAAGTTATGGGGGTGAGTGGATGAGGACTACTGTTTACACTGAAGTCCCCATCACCGACAGACAGACAGACACACCTATAAACAGACGCTTGTTTCCTTACCGCAGTCTGGTGAGGAAAAGCTTACAAAAAGTACCAAACTCAAACCCACATGCAGTGACCTTGTTTTTTTTGTTTTTTAGCTTTT